GGGCGGATGCTGCGTGACCCCTGCTCTCTGGTGTCAGCACCGTTTCCCAGTCGCCCCCAGTACTGACACCCCGAGCCTGGGAGACGCAGTCCCCGCTGTCACTAAGTCTACCTACTGCCCTGTGCCTGGCGCGTCTCCAGGTTGGCTCTTTGAAAAACATATATATTTACTGATCTCAGAGAGGAAGGGAGAGGGAGAGAGAGATTGAAACATCAGTGATGAGAGAATCATGGATCGGCTGCCTCCTGCATGCCCCCCACAGCCCGGGCATGTGCCCACAGCCCGGGCATGTGCCCTTGACTGGAGTTGAACCTGGGACCCTTCAGTCCGCAGGCCGACGCTCTATCCACTGATCCACACTGGCTAAGGCTCTTCCTAATTATTTTAAGCTTCGGAAAGATTGGGGCAGAAAGAGGCAGATGACGCAGCAGCGAAAACATCCAGAATGAACTTGGAAACCCTCCAGCCCACCTTCTCCGCTCGCTGAGTGACGGTGGCATGGCCGTCTCCATCTGAGACTGGGCCCCTGGACGCTGACTCATCCCACCCCCTCCCGCTCGGTGTTTCAGCGATGCATGCGGAGCCTTCTCCTCTTCCTCGCCATGCCCTTCCCCTCGGCAGGAGGACACTTCAGTCAGAACCCTGTGAGTTGCTGGGCCAGCCGACCCCTCAGTGTCCGCCGACTCCTCGGGGCCAGCAGACCCCTCATTGCCCGCCGACCCCTCAGTGCCCACCGACCCCTCAGTGCCCGCCAACCCCAAGGGCTGGAACGGAGGGAGGGGGAGGGAGGCCCGCTGCTGTTTCTCAGCGAGATTGCTTTCCACGTGACGGAAGACGGATGGCAGTACACACTCAGTATCGATTTGCTGTCACTCACCCGGGCGAACGGATGCCCGCACCGAGTCCCGGCCATTTGCTGTTACAACAGTTTGTGCCCGGCCGGCCGGGCCTGTGGTTCAGAACATTGTGTAATGGGAAGCCGCCGAATAACAAACTGCAGGAAAATGGAGCCCGTAATGCATGGTCTCTCAGGCCCGGAGGGAGAAATAGCAAGGGGACTTGATGGGACAAATGGCCCTGGAATTCCCCGCCTTTGACTCTGAGCCATTCTGTCCTCGCTCTTTGTTCCCAAGGGCGATCCATCTCCCCGTCGGAACCACCTGCAGGGAAGCTGAGTGACACCCCTGTCCGGGTGCCGCGGACAGGCCTGTGAGTGAAACGCCGGTGATGGAACGCTGTCCTCTGTAATGTCTTCCCGCTCCCCTGCCTTTCCTCTGTGACAGACGGAATTCCCGGGGAGGGCTGATTCCACGTCTTCTGCAGCTCTTTGTGGCATGAAACTGCAAGTGGTGTCTTCGCTAATTTGCACAAAGATGCCGTCGTAACTACTGGCGGTCTGAGTTGTCTGTGTGGCGTGGGGTGACCCGCTCACGCAGCTCCTAAACTCGGCCGTTCTGTAGGATTTCTCCTCCTGCGAGCCACACTGCGCCCATCCACCCGTCGGTGCAGTGGCTAGGCTCACAGTTGTGTTTCTCAAGTTTGGAATAAGAGATCTGCTGTGTGTAACCGCCTCTGTCTTTACACCCCACGTGCTGAGGTTGAAAGGGAGCGTGAATCTTATTGCCGTCCCGGGAGCCTCTACGCTTAGCGACAGTCACACACCTGGGCCATTGCTCTCTGGCTCCCACCCGCCCTGGCCCTCTGGGCCTTGTGTGCAGGGGCCCCATCGTCTCCTGTCCCTGCCTCTATGCCCACCCCGTCAGGGACCTTGGAGGGAGGTCAGTGGATTCCTGTCCTTCTGCGGTTCCCCTCACAGCCCTACAGGCTCCACACCTCTGTTAACCTAAAAAAAAAAAAATTCGAACCTGTAAAGCATTTTTGTGAGCTTGGTGTGGCTCAGTGGACAGAGTGTTGACCTGCAAACGGAAGGGTCCTGGGTTCGATTCCAGACAAAGGCCCAGGCCCAGGTTGTGGGCTCCATCCCCAATAGGGGGCGTGCAGGGGGCAGCCGATCCATGATTCTCTCTCATCGTGGATGTTTCTCTCTCTCTCTCCCGCTCCCTTCCTCTCTGGAATCAATAAAAAGATATTTAAAACCATACAAACAAACATTCCAACCGGTGAAGAATGTTTGTGAGCTATTTGAGCCAAACCGTGGACAGTGGCTGGGAAGAAGAGTCTCGGTGGATGGGGACAGTGCCCCGGAGAATGGCGGGTTCACCTTGTTCTGTGCATGACTGTCAGAGGAGGAGCGGTAGGCGGGTGACAGGAACTCCACTGGGGGTGGACTGGGGGCGAGAGAAAGCAAGGGGGCACCTCTGGGATTGGATGAAGAGTGAGTGATGGACACAGGCTTCTTTCTCTGGGTGGGCGCAGGACAGTTAACTGTCAGCACGTAACTCAATGGCAGGAGGGGGTTTGTGGTCACTGGTTGTGCGCTGAGGGGTCGGGAAAAGGGAAGATACAAGTTCCCCCACATCCCACAGGTGTGTGATCCTAGAGGCAAAGAAACAACAGGCTCCGTAAAGACGGAAGTTGGTCTTTGTCAGGGAAGGTGCTGACCTAGGACGTGACTGCCCGCTATAAACGGCTTTTATTTTTTTAATTTAAATTCTTTATTGTTTAAAGTGTTACCTATGTCTCCCCCTCCCCATTGACCTCTCCCCAGCCTCTTCTACCCCCAGCACACGCCCTCACACCCCTACTGTCTGTGTCCATTGGTCATGCTCATATGCATGCATACAAGTCCTTTGGTTGATCTCTTTCCCCCCACTCACCCTCCCCTGCCTTCCCTCTAAGGTTTGATAATCTGTTCGATGCTTCTCTGTCTCTGGATCTATTTTTGGCATCAGTTTATATTGTCATTATATTCCACAAATGAGTGAGATCAGGTGATATCTTTCTCCAACTGGCTTATTTCACTTAGCATAATGCTCTCCAAATCCATCCATGCTGTTGCAAATGGTAGGAATTCCTTCTTTTTTACAGCAGCATAGTATTCCATTGTGCGGATATACCACCGTTTTGAATCCACTCATCTGCTGTTTCCAAAACTTAGCTGTTG